ACTTTTTCCCTGTGCCATATGAAGTTATTTGTAATAATGTGGAATGGCACAGGGAAAAAGTATTGAACACATGAAGAAAGGGAGGTGTAAAAAGGCATGGAAAGCCAAGACACCAGCTGAACTCTCTCAGTAATTAGAAAACAAGCCTGCCCCTTGTCAGTGCAAGTTAATATCAGCTGGTGTCTTGGCTTTCCATGCCTTTTTACACCTCCCTTTCTTCATGTGTTCAATACTTTTTCCCTGTGCCATTCCACATTATTACAAATAACTTCATTTCTGGACATTTATGGTTTGATTTCTTTGTATGTATGGATCACTTGGGTTGTTACCAACATCTGGTGAAAATTTCATGTCATTAACACCTCTAATAATATATTAACTGAGAAAAATGTTGACGTGTTCAATACTTATTTTACCCGCTGTATTTTGATGGAAATTTTATGTTGTAGCTTTGTTGTGCGTACCTGTATGCATTTACTGTATGCTGTTATTTTATTTTGATTGCTTGAAATAAAATTTAATTTAAAAACAGTTTTTTATTAATATAATTATTAATTTATTTATTTTATGTTATGAAGCTTTGTAAGCCCATCTGGGTTTTTATGACCTCTCTGGCACGTTTCTTATATTCTTTCTTTCTTGTGTTATATGTTTTTTAAAACAAATAATATAGATTTGTCTGGAAGATGTTAAAATATTTTTTGATATCACGTTTGTCATATTGATCCACATCAGGCATTTGATTATGATATAGATTGATATTTTAATTTTGCCTTGATGTAATGAAATCATTAATCATTTAACCGATAGATCGATGTGGACTGATGTATTTTTACATCCCTGGTTTGGACATGTCCAGAGGAGGACAGTGGGGATGAATACGTCAGTCTCTTAATATTAAAATATATTTTTATTACTTTTTCAGTTCCATCACTGTTTTCTCACAACCTTGAATAAATCAGGAAAATAAACAGTTTATATTTAATTTGTTATTTTTCTCTCTGAATCGTCATTTTCAACAAAAGTGGAACAACTTCTTACATCTCATACAGATTTTTGGGAAAAGTGAACCTTTTAAGCCACAAACAATGCTACAAACTATGTAAAGAAACATCATTTCAACGTCTCTCTGACTACTTTAAACTGTGCTAACTGAGCTGACAGCTGTGAGGACCAGAGAAATGTGTCACCTTTTTCATTTACTTGTCACAAGTTGTTTTGACACCTCTGGCCACAAAGGCCCTCAGCCTTACTGAGACCTTTATCCATTTTATTCAGGATTTTATTGATTTTCTCGATAAAATCTCATCCCACAGACGGTCCAGTAAAGGAAAATTCAAACATGAAGATGCWCCCTGCAGTTTGAGCCCACTGCACATTACGATGTGCTGATTTTAGACTGTAAACGTGACATTTTACCTGCTCAGTGTCAGAATATTTGCATCATCACTGTGGTCATGTTTGCTTATATAAAGCACCTCCGTGTTCAAGCCTAGTTTTGTAACCTTGGTTTGGCAGATAAATGGAAAAAAAAATCATATAAAACAGACATATTTTGATTAATTTTCAGTTTTTCAAACATTTTACCAAACTAGATGAGGGTTTATCTTGTTTTCATAACATGAAACTAGAAAACTTCAGAACATGACCCAAATTCTAAAAGTTCAACCATCAAACAATCATCCAATTCTTGCAAAATAACCAATGTTGAAAAGATATTATTGAATCAATGATTGAAACGCCAGCGTCTAATCAATGTATCAGTTATGGCTGAAAACCTAACGTTGTTCCAACAAGTAAGTCACCGACCACTTTTTGTATAATTTCAACATGGATTCAGTATCACACCTTGACCATATTTCAATGTTGATTCACTCATATTTTGCTATCTGGGCACCGTTTTAAGGTATTTAGGAAAACACTTTTAATGTTTGATTTTATAGTTTATGATGAGTGCCTTTAACAAACAAAAAAATGCAAAAAAGGGTCATGAGCTGAAGTCAAAACAGCAGCCAAAGTCTAGAAAAAATCTAAAAGAATTGTTGACCACTTTAGGAGATTGCAAGGAAATCTGGTTGCTTGTAAGTTAACCTAAAGGCTGTCACACTATAACGTTTTAGACAGCTTATGATAACAATTATTCCATTAAATTACTAAATTAAAAGTTGTCTAATRTAACGTAAGTTGTCTAAAAACGTTATAGTGTGACAGGGCCTAAAAACACATAGATGTTCTGAGAAGCTGTCATTTCTGTTGACTTCAGATGCACACAGATGGTTAGTTCAGATATGAAACTTTGTGTTTTTGTCAAAAAGAAAACAATAAGTAGGTCCTCTGGATGGGTTCTTCTTTAGTGAAACGTTTCGTCTCTCCTCCAAGAGACTTCTTCAGTCTGAGGAGTTTCAGTTGAAACTCAGCCTTATAAGCACTGCCTCCACATGGTGGACAAACAGGTTAGTCACATGCAAAATAGGGCCATCACCTAACAATAGGCTTGATTAGCTCTCTTGTTCATAGAGGGTCATGTATCCCATCACCTGACCCGTGTCGTGTTATGTCTATGTAGTGAATGCAAGTGGGGGTTCAACGTCCCCTTGTTTTTGTCCCTCTTTGTGTTGGTATC